CTTCCCCGGCTCCGGCTGCGCCTCTGCCTGCCGTGGCTTCCCCCTCCTGCCTGCCTGCACCGGTGTCCCCTCCTGCTCCCTCCTCTCTCTTGCCTGCGGCCCCTCCGGCCGCTGCCCGTCGCCTGCCTGGGCTCCCTCGGGCTCCCCTTTGTCCCCCTTTCGTTCCTGTCTGGTCTCCCCTGTCTGCTCCTCCTCCTTTCGTCCCGCCTGTGTTTGCTCCTCGTCCCTCTGTTCCTCCTCTGTTCGCCCCTGGCCGCTTCGTGTCGCCTGTGGATGTTCCTTCTGTGCCCTCTGTGTCTCCCTTCTCTGTCTGTCTGTCCGCCTTTCCTGTTTTGTCGGGTCCTGTCTTTCTTTTCGTCCTTGTTCCTGTTTTGTGTCTCTGTCCTGTTCCCGGTCCCTCGTTACTGTTTTGGCTTTTGTCTTCCAGGTCCTGTTCCCTGGTTTTGTCTCGTCCGTCGCCTCCTCTCTGGCGCGCCCGGTGTGCGCGCCTTTCGGGGTGGGGTTATGTCACGCCCCGCTCCGTCCGATCCTAATGTGTGCCACGCCCACCTCGTTACCTGATGTTCAACCCTGATTGTTCTCACCTGTTGCCTGTTCCGTTTGCCTAGTCTTGTGTATTTAGTCCTCGTTTGAGTCAGTCTTCCCCAGACTCATCATTGATGTTCGCTGTTGTGCTTCCCCGGTCCGTCTATCTTCAATAAATCCCCGTTTGTACCCGACTTCCTGGTTCCGTTTCCCTGCTTCCCGGATCACCGGAGCCCGATCGTGACACTAAAACTAGTAGTAATAATAATAATAGTAATATGATCACTAAAATAAATTATATTGTTAAAATACAATGCCTGGCCAAAAAGAAGTTGCAAAATTTTATATTTCATTGGACCACATTTAGCTTTGATTTTGGTGCACATTTATCATAGCATTGTTTCCACAAGCTTATGCAATATCTCAGCATTTTTTTCCATCCAGATTTACATTAATTTTTCGCCAAGATCTTGTATTGATGATAGGTGAGTTGAAGCGTTAATTCTTCTTCAGCATATCTCAAATATAATGGATCAAAACCTTTCCACACCAAATACAATGTGAAAGAAACTGTCAACTACCAACAAGCAGTAGCAGCAGTGACAATGACTTTTTTTGGTTTTTTTGAGGAAACAAATGAAAAATATTGGATACACGCAATTCTATAAAAGCTTATACTTACAATGAACAGTGATGAAAAAGAGTTTTGGATATATCCATCTGATATCAGTTAAATAATTACAGGAGGTATTCCTGCAGAAAGCGGATTAGCGGTATTTCAGGTTAAGCAAAGTTAATATTAAGAGCGTCACAGCGACATCATCTATTTTCAGTTTGTTAACTAAGGCAACAGTAAAAATAGCACATACTAATTTTTTAAATTGTATTTTCATTAGATATTAATTGTATACAGATAAGGCTATAAATGAAGCAACATAAAATTAGCAAGTAATCACAATCTAATATCTGGGAGATACATTACAAAACCTTAAAAAATTAATGACGAACATAAACGTAAGCAACCAGAACAGCTGCAAACAGCTTGACCTGCCACTTGTCATCAAATAAGACCCAGATTCCTTTGATCTCAATGTTTTCAATGTGAGAATCAATCCTAATGTTAAAATATATTTTTAAACATTGTTAAACTTGGGGGTGGCATGATGATGCAGTGGTTAGCACTGTTGTCAAACACCTCTGGGGCCTGGGTTTGAGTGTCTGGCACCCCACTGATTGATTGATTGATTGATTGTTTGATTAGAAGCAGGATATGAACTACTACTGGACAGGGCCACCCATAAATCGGGAGAAAGAGGAAGTTGCCCAGACACGGAGCAATCGATCTACAGGCAAGTCCCCCAACCCTGGTTCATTAATTATTATTTATCATCAGGGTTGAACCTGCACTGAATACCGGTCATTGCATTACTAACCTTGAATCAAATCAAAGTCAGATCGGAAAGAAAAATCATTCTTGTCACCTATCACGCAGGCTTGTGTTGTAAACCAAGTGAATGTTTTTTTTTCCTATTCAAATAAATTAAAAAAAAAACAAAAACTGAATACATATGTAAAAACTGACATCCGTTGATTTTTTAATGCATCCAAAAACTGCAGAAAGCTCTCTCCAAATAAAAAGATGACGGGTCATGACGATGTGAATTTGTCAGACTTTGTATGAAAGCCTTCATATAAATACATTTTATTTGTTTCCAAATAATGTTCTGTGTGAAAAGGCCTTTAACACTAATGTCAATAGCAGTGATAAATACAGTTAGAGTTCAGGAAACATACATGATGTTATAATTGTTCAATACTGTCAATGTTTTGTCTTGAATCAAAAATGAATCTGCATTTTCATTATGTCAGGTGTTCCAT